GATCTTCTTGAAACGTGGCAAACTTCATGCTCTCAGCAGAGGCTACCATCCCTGCAAGGTTCATCCAAATCAGACAAAAAACAACAAAGTTATAGATCTTTCATTGATTCTCCATTATACCCTACGGCTGGATCTCCAAGGCGGCCCTGAAGCTTCGGAGCCGCATCAGCCAGATCGAAGCAGAAACTCGGTCCAGAGCTCTGGATCAGATCGCTGCCATCCAAAGTGGCCATATCTGAAGCTGGATCAGATCACTGCTGCCTCACACAGGCCTACTCAGCAGAGAGATGTTCTTCCCCTGCTAGCTGTTGAAAAACTAAACTGCCACCTCCAGCTCTGAGAGCAGGACATTAAATGGTTGTGAAACCAACTAAAGGAAGGAAATAGGTGTGGAGTGAGGAGGCTGGTACTCACTCCATCTGCAAGTGGAGGTTGGAGAACCCCAGCAGCAGGAAGTTCAACTTCAGGAACACCAGCTGATCCACCAAACCACTGATCCAAGGAGGTGTGCTGAATACCCTCTCACTTGGAACACTGGTCAGTGGACAGGACAGGTGTTCCTGGGCAAACATGGCCAGATCTTGTCACATCTGGATGCAGTTGCCCAATAGGCTAAGGGGTCCCATTTCAGCGGCTCCATGTCCTTGGCAAGATAGGTAGCCACCAAGGCCTCCACGCTACCTGCTGGATGGTGGGGTCTGGTGCCTTCCCAACATGGAAGACATGCCCTTGGCCCACATTAGCAGTGGCTGTGGTAGAGGAGATTGCCTGGTGCTTGGAGTGCTGGAGTGCTGGCACAGGACAGTGGATCCCCCTCTTCCATGTCCCCCCAACCTCTGCCCTTCTGCCTCCCTGACTCTGTTCACCAGCACCTCTGTCCAGTGATTGAGGGTTTTGCTGATGCAGATGCTCCCCTGCATCCTTGGGTCTCACATGGCTGCCAGCATGTGGACCATACTGGATTGCAATATATCCAGCCATTTTTGATGCCTTCCTTCAGCTGCTTTACCAGTGCCTACACCCTTGGTGAAAGTAGCTTGCCTGAGCCAGGAACACTGATCCCCTGGAACTTCTCCATTTGATTCTCAAGCTCCTTCACAATGGGGATCACCTGGCTAAGGAGGGCATCACCAGCACTGAGGATCTCAGTGGCCTCGAAGAAGGGCTCGAGGACCACCAAGTTCTGGGAGATGGTATCCCACTCAGTTTTGTTAAAGGGGCCACTGATCCCAATCTCCCTGAACAAGGCCATCTCACGGATGGCCTTCTGTTGCTCAACCAGCTTTTTGTGTGCGTGTCCAGTCCGTGTGTAGTATATATAATATATGTTGTGTTTTGCTGCACAGTGATGACACACTGCGGGGAAAATAGATTGCTTTTTGTGGGGCGGGGGGCAGAAGACAGGCTAACAAGAACAAACAAGAGGATTTTGTGGGAAGAATAAGCTGAAAGGAATGGATAACAATAGGGATGGTAGGCAAGGGTAAATAGGAAAGGATTGAATAGAACTTGGTGGCAAGAGGCTACCTACTACCAAGCCAGAGACCTTCAGAGCCCTCCCTCTTCCTAGTTTCTATTTCTTGCATGTCTGCCTTCTGAATCACCAAATCTTTTCCAAATTTTTTCCAAAGTGATTTGGAGGTTTTGATTTGATTCAGAGATTTTAACAGGTCTCTTGATTCAATTCAGATTCAAAGATTTGGTTGCCAAATTCAGCTGAATCTCCTCTGAATCAAATCAGTTACCAAAGCTTCACACTGCCCTAATTGTTACCATTAAATGACCTGGAGTTGATCAAGAAAGCTAACCTCATCTACTTTTCTTAGGCTTGAAAGTTACACATGATGGTGCTGTTCCCAAGTTTTACTTTGATTATGTATTTAAAAGATTCCATTACTAAACAGTTAAGAAATGATGTGCTTAGTGAGAAGGGACTGCATTGTTTATTCTGTAAAAATAAATTTATGAATTGAAACGCATTAACTGTCTAGCTTCTTCTGTGTAGAATGACAAACTTATAATAATCAAGTGCAGAATGGAAAGTAGTAGCTGTGGACACAGATTATACATGCAGAGGATTATCACATCACACATGAAGAACAAAACCTTAAATTATCCATTTCCGAAAACAGTGAGAAATTAGAAGTGATGGAAAAGCCAGAAAGAATGAAAGCTCAGAAAAGAAATTATGCTCTAGGACCCTAATTTAGCAGGGAACTTAAGCATGCACTTTAAATCAATCCATATTATACAGAACACTTAAGCACACTTCATTTTAAGAATGTGTTTAAATTCTACTAAGGTAAATGAGACTTAAGCATTTTAAGATTAGACATTCACTTAAATACTTTCTTGAACGGTTGTTGATTTCAGGCCTAGATGATAGCTAAACTTCTTGTAATTTTAAAAATAATTCTTGTAGGAACACAATGCATCTTAGATGCTGTGACTTTAACAGAAAATTACAGTAAAATCTCTGTTATTCGGCATGCATTGGCGATATGTAGGGGTTGCATGCAGGTGCACGTGCACCCCCTGAGTTTGGCAGTGCACTCCCTGCCAAAAGTGCTGCTGACATTGCCAGCAGTACCTGCCTGCAGTTGCTGCTTGCCACACCATCCCCCTCATCACTGACACTGCCAGCGGCATCTGCAGGTAGTCCTGCCTAGCACAGAGAGAATTTTCCTGCCAAATGCAGAGGAACTGGACCCAATAATCTACAAGGCCCCGTCCAACTCATAACAATCTATGAATCTATGAAACTGTGGTCGCCAACTACTAGTTGGTGCTTGCCAGCCCTTCTCCCCACCCACCACCAACAGCGCTGTGGCTGCCTGCAGGAGCTCGCTGCTCACTTCTACCATGCTCCTACTGCTGAGCATACCGCCGCCTGTGGGAGCTCACCGTACTTTCCCCCCAGCCTCCAGGGACACACAGCATTCATGCCAGCATGAGTGGGGAATGGGGGGTGCCGATTATCTAAAAATTATGTTTATCTAAGATTTATACTCAAGGAACAGTACTTGTAGTGCAAATAAATACATTACAGGATAACCTACTATATAAAGAATAAAATAGTATACAGATAAAAATGCCATAATAGTCAGCCAGGGAAGCCTGGCCACACACTGCTGCAGCAGGGGGGGAGGCACGCGAACCCAGATACCCTGCATGGGTACCCTCAGAGCAGTGCAGCAAGCAGGCAAGTGTCATGGCATGGCACCATATGTGTCCTGCCACTGACTTTCTGGTTAATGAAGTATTCTGGTTAGTTCAATGCCGGATAACAGAGAATTTACTGAATTTGGATAATGTATTACAGCCATGGTGCTCAACCTCCGCCTGTGGGCCAGATTTCATAGATTTCATAGACATTAGAGCTGGAAGGGACCTCAGAAGATCCTCGAGTCCAGCCCCCTCCCCAGGGGCAGGAAGTCAGCTGGGGTCATAGGATCCCAGCAAGATAAGCATCCAAATTTCTCCTGAAGGCGTTCAAAGTAGGTGCTTGAACCACTTCCGATGGCAGTCTATTCCAGACCTTGGGGGCTCGGACAGTAAAGAAATTCTTCCTTATGAATTTCTATAAGAAATTCTTCCTGATGTCCAGCCTGAAACGGTCTCGCAGTAGTTTATGACCGTTTGACCTTGTCATCCTTTGGGGCGCTCTGGTGAACAAACGTTCCCCCAGATCCTGGTGGCCACCCCGGATAAACTTATAGGTGGCCATCAGCTCACCCCTGAGCCTGCACTTTTCCAGGCTGAGTCGTCCCATGGCTCTCAGCCTGTCGTTGTAAA